AACTTCTTATGATATGAATTTAAACTAAAAAAACACACTTAACTCTCTTGTTTCAGGTAGAAAGAAGAATGATGTTAGATCTTGAAGAAAGAGAAAAGAATCTTTTTTATCATCATGATTCAACTGCAAAAAATGAAGAAGAGAGTATTGTGAGGAAACTTAGAGAAGAAATTAATAGGATTCGTGAAAAACATGGGAAAAATAAAATGAGTTTTACTAAAACTGGAGAATCTTCTAGAAGGATATAAAGGGTGATTGATATTGATATGGATATGGATAAGGAGAAGATGCTTAAGGTGTTGTGGGAGAAGGGTGGTTTGGAATATAGTGAGGAAAGATTGAGGGGGGTATTTGAAACATTTGGTGAGGTTGAAGATGTGGTTATTAGAAGTTCCAAGAAAAAGGGTTCGGCTCTTGTTGTCATGGCTTCCAAAGAAGCACCTGTAAGTTTTTCTCAAAGAAAAACATTAATGGAAAAAAGGGTACTTAAGTCATGTTATATCAAGTGTCCTCATGAACATGAGTTTTAAGTGTGTATGTGTTTGTGTGTGTGTTTTGGACAGGTGGCAGCAAGTGGAAGTGTGTGTGGAGATGTTTCAAATCCTTTATTGGTTATATGACTTCAAGCAGCAGTAGCTAATTGTGAGCCTATGAAGTCTTCTGATGGTCAACAACATGTAAATGAAGAAGAGGTGGTTGGTGAGGCATTTGAAGATTCTGTTATGCAAAAACTTCAAAAGGTTTAACTATTTGACTTTCACTCCAATGTCTCTTTAATTCTTGTTGTTCCTTTTTGACAAAATAACTTATTCCTTTTTTTTACAGGCTGCCTGAGAGATGAAAATGAGTTTTTGCAGAATATGTAGAATTTAAATTCAAAAATTGCTACTTATTAAGTGTACATTGATTATGTTATGACAGAAAGATAGGTTAAGAATATCTAGAATTTGAATTCCAACATAACACATGACAGGAGAACAAGGGTAACCATTTTGAAAAGTTATAATTTTTTGGGTACTTTTAATATTTGCTATAATGTTTGAGATAATGGTGTGTAATATGTTGGTTTTTAGTTTTTTGTATTTGTTTTAGGTAAGGTTTTCCAATTAATTTTTGGATGGGAATAAAAAATAACTAGAAAGAAATTGGTAAATAGTAAATACTAGTTTTATTGTTTGTTTTGTTTAGATGTATCTTAAATACAATATGTATATGTTGTTTTTGTTTAGACGAGTTCCAAAAATGTTTTTATTGTTATTGCAATTCAAATTTTTTGATATATTATGGATAGGAATGGAGCTCGAAAGTATCTATTATTTTATTAATATTTCTTCATGTTTCTATAGGGTACTGATCACCAAAAAAGTATGTTGTTAGATGTGAATAAAATAAATTAACCTGTTTCTTTTGCAATATTATACCCGGCATGTATAAAACTAGTTACTCATGATTTAGATTTACAAAGCATGTTTTGAGTATATAATTTATATTTATTACTTCACAATCAAAGAATAAAAATACTATTTGAAATCCATCTTTAAAAAATTAACATTTGTTTAATTGCGTAAGAACTAAGAAGAATAAATACAATATATAAATAAAACAATACCCATATCACCATATGCCATATGATCCACAAAAACAATTCAACTGTAACTGTTTATCCCAAACACCTATGTTTACCCAACTATTGAAAAGCAGTTCAGGGACTAGTTTTGTAATTCACTCAAAAACTTTTCTTTTGGTGCAAAAGAGGAGAAAAGAAAATAATTCAGGGACTATTTGTGTAATTATACACCACCACATCCTCCTCTCCGTTTGCCGACTACGCCACCCCACAAGAATCGAAAATTCCCAATTCTTAGAGCCAAAATTTCCTAATTTTAGATTGCATCTCAACCCTAATTCTTTACAGCCACGACTTCTCCACGACTCCCACTCCGGCGAATCAGCGATCCGTATTACTCTACCGGCTCCGTTCTACGGCGGCGGACCATCTCCGTTCGTCAGCGTCAGCCGATTGTAACACTGTTTCAGTGTTTTAAGGTAAATACTCTCTCTTTTCTTTGCACACTTTTTCATCGTTAGCACATAGCATATAGACTCGTTTAACACGTAAAGTGATAAAAAACGTTTAGGGTTTATAATTTAGTAAAGTCTTTAAAGATCTTTTAGTTAGCACATAGGCTCGTTATTCTAGTTGTTAAGTTTTCAGATTCTCGATTTTAATATTGGCTTAATAGTTAGTACTACACAGTGGATCAAACAACACTCTCGATTATCATCGTATTTGTAAATCACATTTAAACTATCATGACTCCTTGTTGAACTATGAACTAGAGCAATTAGCAAGATTCTTGTTCTTACCTTTCATGAATTTGATTCAATATCTTTTCTCCTCAAAAACCATAAATGGGACCCATAAATCCAGAATCATGTATCCTGTTTTCTTCTCGCCAGATATGTTGGAACCTTAAGTTCTTTCATGGGTTTCCAGCTTCTTATAATATGAATTTAAACTAAAAAAACACTTAACTCTCTTGTTTGTTTCCAACAGGTAGAAAGAAGAAGAAGAAGATATGGATGTTGACATTGACCATTACACCATTCTTGGATTACCATCTGGTGAAGAAGGATCGAAGCTTTCAGAAAAAGAAATAACAAAAGCATACCGATTAAAAGCTTTAGAATTACACCCTGACAAAAGACCAGATGACCCAAACGCCCCTTCCAATTTCCAAAAACTACAAACATCATACCAAATCCTTAAAGATGAAAAAGCCCGAAAACTTTTCGATGATCTTCTTCGAGTGAAACAACAAAAAATTCAACGCCAATCACAACACGACTCCAAACGTAGAAGAATGATGTCAGATCTTGAAGAAAGAGAGAAGAACGCTTTTTATCATCAAGATCCAACTTCAAAAGCTAGAAATGAAGAAGAAAGTATTGCAAGAAAACTTAGAGAAGAAATCAGTAGGATTCGTGCAATGCATGGAAACAATAAAACGGGTTTTACTGAAACCGAAGAATCTTCTAGAAACAAAGAAAAAGAAGATGAAAGAAAAACTAGTGGGGTGGAGACAAATATGGATAAAGAGAAGATGCTTAAAGTGTCATGGGAGAAGGGTGGTTTGGAGTATAGTGCGGAAAGATTGAGGGGATTATTTGAAACATTTGGTGAGGTTAAGGATGTGGTTATTAGAAGTTCCAAGAAAAAGGGTTCTGCTCTTATTGTCATGGCTTCCAAAGAAGCAGCTGTAAGTTTTATTTTCTTTTTTTTTTTCCATAATTTTTTTTGTGGGTTATCTACAAGAAAGAGCATTGTACTTTGATTTACAAAATAAATAAAAAAAAAAAAAAAGATTGAAGTACTTTATCCACACAGAACTTAATGGAAAAAGGGTAACATGAACATGAATTTTAACTCTGTGTGTGTGTGTGTGTTTTGACAGGTGGCAGCAACTGGAACTGTGTGTGGAGATCTTTCAAATCCTTTATTGGTTATACCACTTCAACCTGCTGTAGCTAATTCTTTTCCAACATTTCGTGAGCCTGTGAAGTCTTCACATGGTCAACATGTAAATGAAGACCTTGTTGGAGCTAGATATCAGGCGTTTGAAGATTCTGTTTTGCAAAAACTTCAAAAGGTTTGACTATTTGACTTTCACTTCAATCTCTTTAGTACTTGTTGTTCCCTTTTGAGTTAATGTAGAAAGAACAACTTAACATCTTAACATGTGGACAGAATAACTTATTACTTTTTTTTTTTTTTTTTTTTTTGCAGGCTGCTGAGAGACAGAAATGAGTTTGCAGAATATTGAAAATTTAAATTCCAAAATTGCTACTTATGTACATTGGTTATTTTATAACAGAAAGATAGGTAACATGCATTAGAAAATTTGAGTTATTAGAAAAATCTTGTGCAAATTTGAGTCCAAAAATTAACTGAAGAGGGTATTATTATTGTCTATGGTGTGTGACATTTATTTGCTTTTCTTTAGTTACATGAGACATGACGTCATGAGCCAACTCAACTAAAACTCTTTTATTGATGAGGAAGAGAAGGGCATTTTTGTCTTTTGCACAAACAAGAGACCTAGAGAAGGGACTTTAGAGTTTAGACACAACCTTTTTTTTAACAATCATCATTACTTTATAGAAGAGCAATTGAAATAATTATGAAATTGTATATTATTTTTATATTGGTTTCTTTACTATAAATAATGATTCTTAAAATAATAAAATATATGTTAAAATAAGAGATTTAATATCAAAATCAGTGTAGCTACTAGCTATCTTTTAATTCATATGATGTTAACTTAAGAGTAAAGTGTGCCAAATAACCTGAAATCAGATAATCTAAAATTGATTAGGCCAAATTTTATTGAATATGATTACTTTGATTGTTGATACGGTTACTTTAAAAATGTTAAAAATCTCAAATAAAGAAACCAAAAGTCGATTAAACCGAAATAACATCCCTAATTAAAAAGCCAATAACCTTAAAAAGAGGAATTCATTTGTCTTTTAAGAGTGAATTTCTAAAAGTAATTTACAAAATTGTTGTTTTAAAATCAATAAGACACTTACACATTTTTTATATTAAATAATATCATTTCTTTTTTGTCCTTTGCAAAAAACTACTATAGTACCTTTGGTGTAAATATGTATCTTTAAAAATGGAGAAAATTAACAAATGAAGAAATATTCTTAGGCGATAATTAAGAAATTCCACAAATAATTATATATTTATAAACTCTTGTGCCAAAACTCCTTTTTTATTTATTTATAATCTAAACCTAACCTAATCCAATTAAAATTTTATCCAACATTGCTATTACCAAAACTAAACGAAAAAAATAGTCATATGACGCCAATAGTAAACTCTTATGCCAAACTTTTGTACAATTTGCCTAAACCGCAACATTTTTTAATAAATAAACTGACATTATGATAATCTAGAAAATCTAATTGTGTTAGAAAAACATATGAAACCACGAGTAACAATCAAAAGTTTCTCCGATCAACATTACCAAATTATAAACACATACACACTGTAATTTGTAAAACCATATTGGAACCATTGAGGTGATCATTTTATTATAAAAAAAAAAAAAGACTACCAAACCTAATAAAGACAAATTTGTAAAAAAAAAATAAGGACTAAATCAAGTCAAAATAAAAACACTTGTAGAAATAGAATCATGCAGGTTTCCTTAGAATCTTTACAAGCAAATACCAAAGACCAGAATCAACAGACGATAAGCCAACAATAAGCATTGCCACAAGAACAAGAGTCAACATAGCTGTCTTCAACTGCATACACAAAATATTTGTATTATGAATTATCATTATTAGTATTATAAATGAGAGAAAATAAGGTTTCAAATTTAAATGTAAATGATCACAAAGTATATTGTTATATTTTGCATTTAGCTCTAAAAATAATTAATAACACTAACCGTATTTTGGAAACCTGGCCACTCTATGTACTTTAGCTGGCTAGGTTGTTCAGCCAGAAAGGCAAACAAAGATTTTATTCCCCTGAAATTTAACATCAAATAATTAGTTACCAAAAGTTACATGTTTCTTTTATTATTTTATACAAAATAAAAATAATCTGACTTTTGAAGTGAATTGGTATTTGATTAGTTATATAATTTTTTTTTCCCCGAAAAAACAAGTGTTTACCTGATAAAGCCTTTTGTAGGTGATAACCAAAAGGGTTCATTATTTAAATTAAGCCCATTGTGGTTTCCTCTTGCTACTGAAATAGCATATTTGGCACCATAATCTTCTCCAATTAAAATCTTAGGTCTTGTTATACAGATCTTCATTAGACAATAAAAGAAAAAAAAAAAAAAGGTTAAAAGCTATAAATATTAGGTAGATTACTCAAAGTGTAAAATGTCTTAATCAGAAGAAAGATGAAAATATAATGTTATACAAGAAAGAAACGAAAGCAATATGCTATATTACACAAATCAATGATACGATGCTATTTCTTGCATTTAGCACAAAAAATATGTACTAAAGCTAAATTTAGTGGTGAAGAATGAAAAAAAAAAAAATGGTTACCTATTTACCTTTTTAAAAACATGGTGGCTTTTTCGGTTATTTATTGATGTGTTTGTGGTTAACTTCTGAATTGGAGATAGTGCTTTTGGACAATTCATACCTGTTCCAAAGTGGAAGATCATAATTCAATGAAAAATAAAAATACCCCAATTCCATCATACTAAACACTACCTTATTTTGTTTATCTTTTTTATTTTCAAATAAAAGAGATAGAAAGATAAGAGAGAAGAAACCTGTAAAGATTGTCACCGGATCAAAAATTAAAGCCATTCAATTGCTGAAGTAGCTGAAGGAAAAATCGTAAATAACAAGTATTAGTAAAGTCACCATAATTGTAAATACTTTATCGTTTGCAATTCGATATCAGAAAAATCATACTCACAATCCACAAACAATCTCATAATTGGGTTTTAAACAATTGTTCACTACAAAATTAGAATGATCAATCTTCAATATAAGCTCAGAATTTTCGGAGTATTCAGTATGGTTGATGATTTGATAAAACAAGTGAACTAACCCCTAACCCTATTCAACGACTCTGATAAGAGTGGATATGATGCAATTAGGTCAAATCAATTAACCTGTTAATTGCATAAAAGTGGACACCATATTATGGTGGAAACGAAATAACCGACTATTTTGGATAAAAGAAACTGCAGAAACATATCCATAGAACTTGACGGAATAGTGATAAAGCGATATCGCATTTGCAAAATTTCAGATTCCTATAGGAAGTAGAAACTTCAATTTTTATAAAGAAGAATCAAAAACTGAATGTAGAAACCCTAATTCGTGATTAAACAATTAAATACATGAATAAACCAAACGTAATAATAGTGAAGTTGAACACAAACCTGGAAATTGCAGCGAACAAATGATGTTCGAGGGAAAAGATGATGATTGATGATGAGGATGATGCAAAACTTCGGCTATTCTCCATTTAGTCCATTGAACATTTAGGACCACAACTACAGTGTTAGCCCAAAAGCTTAAAGTGATAGCCCAATTTGTAAAAAAAGCTAAAAGCTATTTTTTTTTTTTTTTTTTTTTTAATGAGTCGGCACACTTAAGAAAAATGCCTTGAGTAAATTACACAAATGGTCCTTATGGTTTGAGATATTTATACGTTTAATCTCTAACTTACTTTTTTAATTCAAAAGATCATTATAGTTTGTTTTTGCTGCATGCTTATTAGGTAAGATATGGACTAAGCGTGCAACAAAAACAAACAATTCCAAATTAAAAAAATAAATTAGAGATCAAACATGCAAATTACCCCAAACGATAAAGACCATTCATGTAACTTACTCATATTTCTTTAATCGGGTCAAATTTAAATATATTATCTTTTATATTTACCATGCCTGGTGCTTATATTGCACATATACACCGATAAACCTTTTAATTGTCCAAGAGGTTAAGTATAACAAAACTCAACCTCTCCAATAATTTAAAATAGAAAAATTAAATTTGGTTATACCAATTCTACTAACCACTGAATCCCAATTGTAAAACTCTATGTCACACCACCACCTGTACCTCACGTGTGTCACGATTACTTTTAATTATAATATTCAATTGTCATTTTTTTTAATTATGACCTAAAGATTTTAAATTAATTATTATATGATTTCGTGGGATTTAATATATATATTTTTAATACAAATCACTAGATAGTAGCAGCGCGTGATGTTGCAAAAATTTTATATATTTACACAATACGATTAATATTTAGTTATGTATAATGTATAATAATGTATTTCTAGTTTGTTTTGGGCATATTAATAAATAACAAACCCAAATTATATCTATGTTGCCACACCCTTCTACACTATCTCAATGATCAGTGTCACTCCATATTATTTATTACTAAAAACACTATATAATTCCTTAATACCCTTTTGCTTCTCATGTGTTGTAATGTGCAACCGTGCAACCCTCCGACTCTTCAGATAAAACATGTTAAAGCATGCATCATATGAGATTTTTATAGATTTCATACGTTAAGTATATTTTGGATGAATTAGATGATTATTGAAAAGAATATTACTTATCACAAAATGAACGGATACATAATGAAACTTTCTGTTTTTAATATTAATAAAAGGAAAATTAACTATGAATAAAGAATCTATTTTGGAATTATCTTATCTGTTTTTGGTATTGGTAGTGATTGTAATGAGACATTCAATCCGATCGTCTAGCATCAAAATCTAAAACCAACAATGCAAAACATGCAAAAAATATGACGAAGCAAAAGAAAACAATAACAAAGAAATATTCAAGGAATTGTATTGTATTATTGAATTCAAGATGCGTAGAAAAGGGTTATAACATCTTTTTATAAAGAGGAAGCTAAATTTGGTAGGTATTGTAAATTTATAAAATCTAAAGTGATAGAAAATTCATCTACTCAAGCTCATTGATGAAGATAGAAAAAAACATAAATTCAAGACATGTGCTTAAAAAAACATGTATTCTATCATTAAAATTGAAATAAATTAAAATAATGAAACGCATGAAAAATAAAATTGAACGCCTAAATTTAGTTTTCCTGACGACGGGTGGGAAACGGCCTTTGGCGTTTTGTCAAGAGTTTCGAGCCGAATAGAACTACTCGGCGATATAAAGTGGGCCTCCGAGCTTCTTATATATTAAAAAGTTACTTTGTTTTAAGTTGAACATCTTTTGAACCTATGTATCCTTCTCTCTTATCTTGATACTTCGGTCAAATCTTTAATATATAGTAGGAAGGAGTTGCGAGAAAGAAACTACGGCCGGAAACACAATACCTTGACCACGGTTTAGGAGTGAGGGGAGGCAACCCCACCTCCTCTCTCTTCATCTCATTGGTTTGTTTTTTTTTTTCTTAGTTTTTTTAATGTCTATTAAATTATATATATACTAAAAACTATATTAAAATTTGTGGTTTTCAATTCCCTACAAAATAAGTATAATATTTGTATAAAACATATTTAAAAAAAAAAAAAAAAAAGGTAGTGAAAAATAATAATTTTCTATCTTTTGGTGACTGAATAAAAAGTTAAATACAAAAAATGGATATACCCCATGGCCTCATTAACATAAATGGAAAAGGCATAAGTTTGTCTCTGGTTATATAAGTGTTGATTGGCAAACAAATTTATTTGAGAAATTTTACTTTGAAACAAATGAACCATCAAATTCTTGTAAAATATTATGGGTTTAGAAGTAAATCAGAAAATACAAACCCACAAAAGAACATAACAAGTGATAGAAATTATTCGGCTCTCTAAGTTTTCCTACCATCTTTTAAATTTCTATTTTTTCCTCACTAGAACCATCAACCATGTGTATCAAAATATAGTATTCAAACGAAATAAAAAAAAAAAAACTTTTGCATCTGCAAAGATTGAACATAAACACACGATCCACAAAAAACACAAGATTGCAGGATACACTAAAAGGGTAAAGGTGAATTGGGAGTTTGGGACCACAATATCTATATTGTAAAAGAAAAAACAATATTTATACGGGCTATATATATATATATATATATATATATATATATATATATATATATATATATATATATATATATATATATATATATATATATATATATATATATATATATATAAGTTATTAAATTTTGCTTTTATTTCAGTCAATGACTCAATGTATTCAATTATAAAGAAACTTTTCATTGTGAATACTATTACTCTTTATTTGCTGTTTAGCAAGTGTAAAAACTAACAAGGCTTTTCATGAAATAATATCTTACTTTTGAAATGATATTTCCGGTTTATCAAATTATACACCTACAATATAGATAAATAAGAATTCATTTCAAAAAATTAGATATAATTTAGAATTACATATTATCTATGTACATAAATAAGAAATACGGTCAGGTTACACATTAAGCGGGAAATAGAAGTCGCGGTATTGATAGATTTTTTTTTAATCAAAAATAGATATTTTTATTTATTTATCAAAATTAGACGTTTTTTATTAAATGAAAACAAAATATAATGACTTATATACTATTTATAGTTTAAAGAGTAAATTACAGACCCCTGTGGTTTGTTCAAATTCACATCTTTGGTCCCTGATGGAATTAATTGATAGATTGCAACCATGTGGTTTTAAAAAATTACAGTGTTGGTCCCTTTTGGTGGATTCCGTTCAGAATTAGGAGTTATTTATTAGGAATTGATTGTTTTACCCTTGGAATAAATTAATAAAACACTAATAAATTACAGAGATCAAATTTATAATCTCACATATCTTTTATATAACTTTAGGTGTTTGATAAAATGTCAATGAGAATTTTTTTTGTTATCAAACATTGTTTTACACTCACAAACAATCTTATACACATTTTTTAAAGTTTTATTCTTTGCTTCCATTTTTTAATATTTATCAAACCTATATGTGTATGTGTTGTGTTGCTATGTGTACATACATCTCTTATATGTCTTATCTTAGTTACTATAATTGTTGGCATATGCGAGATCTTATAATTATGAAAACATAAAAAGTTTTTCTGCCAAAAAATAACTAAATTGCCCTCATCTTTTCTAAACTTCGGTATCAATTAAATAAGAAAATTTTATTTCATTCAAGCTCTCTCAAAAGTCAATATACAAAAAATGTCATGATGTGTTTTAATATTTTTTTCATTAACCACATATTCACTGTTTGTTGAGGAATATGATCAATTATGTGTAATCACCAAACTGTAATTGATTGCATGTTATGTTGTTTTATGGGAAAAATATGATAGTAAATACAACTTCATTTATAGGTAACTATGCTTTGTAGTAATTGAAGCACTTAAGGTTGTGTTCATAATTTTGGTTTGAAAGACTACAATATTTGTTTATAAGTGTTTGTGTTTGTTTACTTTGGTAGATTGCTTGAGTTAATAAATATTAAACACTAAAATTTAATATCAAGGTTTTTTTCAAGTACAATTTATGGATCCAAGACCAAATATTATGATTAGTAAATATAAGATCGATCTATTTAATTTATAGTATTCTTTTTCATGAAGTTGATTTTTAAACGATTTAGACTCTGTTAATCATAAAAAAATTATAATTTCTTTTCAACATTGTTTTAACTACATCTTCTGATTCTCATTTTAATTTCTTTGTTTCAAGTTTTTTTGAAGGTTGTTGGATAGATTTGAGGTTACAAACAATAAAAATTGTCAGGGGTGAGTTTCACACTATCAAAGTTGTTTTGAAATTTATTAGGGATTAATATCGACATTTTTAGGCGTTAATATTGTCAAGATCGATACATTGTCCAAGAAATTTAAGATGTAAATGCTCTTTTTGTACAACTATATAAAAGATAAATTACATTATATTATGCTTTTATCCTATTGTGTTTTTGTATGGTTATAAGGTTTCATGTAACAAATATCATGTAGAACAAGTGAGTAAAGATGATTATGTAAAAACATGATGTACACAGGAAATAAAAGGAAAGTCAGAAACTTGAATGTGAAATTATAATGATTTCCTTATAGTTGACGATTACCTAACCTTTTTATTACATGACGGTAAATTATATTTTAGCTACGTTTATTGTTGGCATTTTTTATAATGCTAAACTAAATTGGTCAATGGAATTTCAATTTGGATTAATTTAATTTTTATAATTGCTATAAAAAAAATGGTAATTAACGAAGATCGACTGGATGTAATATGATGAAGTTAAAATTCATGAAAAAGCTGTCATTCACCCAATTTTTTTTTTCTTTTTGTTTAAATTATCTTTTTGTAATTTCGCTATAAAAAAGCGAGAAATGTCAAATGGTCATTTTGTGGAAGAGAGTAAATAAAGATTAATGTCTAGAGACATCTAATCTTAATAACGTGTAAACCAATAACTATAAAACATAATGTAAGTGTGATGCTATAATTTACCCATATATGAAAATATATAGTTATTTTTTGCATTGAACCAACAAAGAAATTACTATATTATTTTATTACTAATATTTATTTTCATGATTTTTTTTTTTTT